TATGATCTAGCTCTAACTGTCTTTTCTGTACGAAGCCATGTGGAATGTCAGGGAAGGCAAGAAAGTTAAAAGTACGAAACACAATCCCACATCCACCATCATCCTAATCTGTAGGGCATGTTATGAGTGTCTTACATGCTCACACGCCATCCCACCATTCAGAATGCTTGTGGCAGCACCTCCGGCCTGCCCTTGACCCTGTTAAGTTAGTCTTTGTAAAGGAACAGTGAGCAGATTCCACCATGTGAGACAAGGAACAGAGCACTACACTCTTCTCTCACTGGGTGGTGCTTTCATCTTAAGTTCTTAAGTTCTGTCTCCCCATAGTTCTGCTTGTGATGTCAATCAGCTTTGAAAATGGCAGGAAAGCCCAAAATTCCCCTGTCCCCCAAACACAGACAATAGGGGATCTCACTGACCCTACACAACTTCCAGCAATCAGAAGAACAATTGTCCTAGGTACTCAGATTACCCCAGTGGGGAGCATGGCCAGAGACACCACCACCCCCAGTAGCAGCCTCCTGTCCTATAGACACTCTATCCTTAGTTCAGATGCTGCACAAGAAATAGGTGCACTGGTGGGACTCTGCTGTCACTCAAGGCCACCATGTTGCCAAACTCCATCTTTGCTGATGTGAACAGCAGTCCTCTGAGCATGTGTTTCCTGTGGCTGCCGTAACAAATTACCACAAACTTGATTATAAAACAGCACAGTGTTTCAGGGGTCAGAAGCCTGAGATTGGCTCCACTGGGATGGAATCAAGGCAACTGCAGGGCACCGCCCCCTCTCGGAGCTGTCCGGAAGCTGTTTCCTTGCCTTTCCCAGCTTCTACAGCTCATTTCTCTGCCTGACTTGGCCCGGGGCTCCTTCCTGCATCTTTGGAGTCAGAGGTGCAGCGTCTGGCTTCAGTCTTCACCTTGCCTTATAGTCTGTATCAAATTTCTCTCTGCCTCCCTTTTCCAAGGACACTGTGCTTACGTTGAGGGCCTACCTGGGTGATCCAAGATAATCTCCTCAGCTTGGCATCTTTCACTCCATCACATAGACACAGTCCTTTTGCCATATGGCCAGCATTTGCGGGTCACAGGGCTTAGTACTTGGATACCCTTGAGGGCCATTTGTCAGCCGACTAATTTGACAAGTGTTTTGTTTTGTTCTCTTTTGTTTACTATGGTAAAGCCTCTCTCCAGCAAATGATAAGTGACTGAGAATGTTCCTTTTCCTTCCATCAAGTCCATATAGGGGAAACTTAGCTCTCGTGGCTTAAAGTGGTAAAGAACATTCCTTAACATCTGGGCAGGCATAAGTGGGAGGTCAGGTGCAGCCACTTCCCATCTGGGCCTCCATGCCTGGTTTTCTGCCTTGAAAAATAGTGGAGCCTTGCTATGAAAACGAAACAAGACAACAAGAGATAAGGGCCTAAGGCAGGGCCTAGAGAGCACTACTAAACATCTTCTCTCCCATTTTCCCCTCTGGCTTCTGATTCCTTTCTATAAAACAAAGGAGTTGCCCAGATGGAGGAAGGTACTCTGAAGGGTCAGAGTACCTCTAAGACCTGGAACTCTGATGTCTGTCATAACAACCCCAAGAAGATGGAGATTCCCCATCCCTGTTCCTTCCCTCTCGGTATGACTCAGTCTCCTTAGCCAGCCTGGACCCTTCTGTATCCCAATCGCTCCTGTGGCCCAAAATGACATCTTTCTTTCCTAGAACAGGCTGACTTATAAGTTAGCCACCTTTCACTCTTTCCCTTTCCTCTACTCCCTCCTGAAATCCTCAGATTCCAGAAATATTTCAAAGAGGGAGAGAAAAGATCTCCATTTCCATTCTTAGGAGATTAAAACAAACAAAAACTAAATGCTAAATGAAAAACCAACCAGCCTGAATAAACAGACTGGCTGGCTAGAGATTTGTGGAGGTTTTGCTTTGTTGTTCTTTTTCCTCCCTTTCCGCTGATGCAACTCACGCTATTCATAATTTTGGAAGCTGAGAAGCACAAACTTCAACGAGAGACTATTGTGAGGAACAAACGATGTGTGTTGTTCAGCTGTGTGAAGTCTGCATCTGCTCCAGGCTTCCAGCCCTGAAAGATCATCCTCAACCTCATACTGCTCAACCTCAGCTAATGCCAAGTGTTTTCTGGGTGTCAAGGATGGAATTAGTGCATTCATGTATATTTTCTGGAATCCTCAATCCTGGCATGCAAACAACGTGGTCCTCATTTCTAAAATGAATATACAAAATACAGAGTAATAAAAAGACCTGTTCAGGACTCTAGCTTAGTAAATACAAAGGTTGAACTACTGTGGCTGTAAAGATGCCAGATGTGAGAGGGGCAAGACCAAAGCTCCAGCCAGCTCCACCACGCACACAGAGTGTGGTCATTAGAAAACCTTTCTCCCTCCGTTTTCTGCTCTGACTTTGGTCAAGATGATCTCCAGATGTCTTCCGTAATTAGAGCTCCACAGTCATAATTCTGTTATGAAATAAACATGCAAATACACAGAAGGAGAAAGGAAAAAAAAAAGACAGAGCCACCTCTGGAACTCTTAGAAAATCTTTGCCATATACATCCCACCTACTTGCCAGTGGACCAAGGGGAAAAATGAGTATCCAGTGTTTTTCTTCTAAACTCAGAGGTACCAGAGGTATTTAAAGCAATAGGAAAAGAAAAAGAAAGGTGGCTGAGTGTCAAAATGTTGAAAATAGAGAACAAGATCCCCACCCCCCCAAAAATTACAAAGATAAGACGTTACAGGTCAGGGAACGTCTGACCCTGGCTGCTCAGAACCTTCCCTGGTGCCAATAGTACTCGCATCTGAGAGCCAGAATCAAAGTGAGTATCTACCTGGGTCTTCTCCTGCCCATAAACAGGCATGCACACACACATACATGTACACAAACATGCATACAGCCACAATGACATTGATTCTATAAAAAGAGAATTTATCCTAACCTTTAATCTCATTTCTAAGACATGCTTGGCAAATCATAGCAAATGTGATTCTGAATGCTCTGAGGGGTCAGAGCACTGTCCTCCATCCCTGGCTGCAGCAGCAGTGAGTTGGACTGTGGCATGAGAAGATCTAGGCTGGCAGAGTCACCCGGCTGGCCAGGCACATACACTTTTACCTTTCTTCTTTGGATATACAGAGACCAGAGAGCTATCTTCACTGGCAAAATGAACTGGGGGATGACAGGGGCAGGCCACACACCACACTAAGAATAAGAATGGCCATGTTGACCAGAGTAAGGCTAAATGTCTGGGGCTTCCCTAAGAAAGTACTGTAAATTGGGTGGCTCAGGATGCATCTACTCCAGGCCTCTCTTAGCTTCTGGTAGTGCTGGGTTAGTGGCAGCAGAACGCCAATCTTCATGCAGCCTTCTTCCCATGCATATCTCTATCCAATCTTCCTGCTTATATAAGAACCCAGTCATCTTGGACTAGCGACCCCCCCATCTTAAACTAATTACATCTGCAATGAGCCTTATTTCCAGATAAAGCCATATCTTCAGGTACTGGGCTTAGGACTACAACAGCACTGATTTTGGGAGGACACAATTTAGTTCATACAAATAATTTCTAAGAAATAAGGACCACGCCCCAGTTCTCCATTTCCTTCTGGAAACAGAAGTGGAACTGGATTTCTACAGGCCCTTTCAGCAGGGCCATTCTGAAATTCATCTGCAGTTAAAATCCTATCACAAATTCTCTGTGTCACTTTAACTGCACATTTCAATTATGTGAGGGACCTTTTGAAAAAATGCCCTCTCAGCCCTAGACCAAATAATCAGCCTTTCTAGGGGTGGAACCTGGACATTTTAAACCCGTAGGTGTCTCTAATACCATATTGCGTATTACCTACAATAGTCCCTGAGAACATCCCAGGATGACATGGTAGGAATCTAAGATACCATCCTGTGTAAAACACAGAAGCTTACAACTAAAACAGTCACAAAAGCTCACAATAGATAAGAAAGTGGCTATAATTCTGAAGACAACCACTAGAGTTTCAATCAAAATTCCTATTTTAATCATAATGTAGATCAAGTCTCATTTCTTCAAGATTGAATTTCTGTGACTGCCTTTTTATTGGTCATCCTCCCCATAGTGGTATGTTTCCAAAGGGCAAAGTGTGGCCTTAGGCATCACTCTAATAATAATGCCTGGTACATGGGTAAGAAACTTTGTGCATGAATGAATAAGTGAACGAATCAATGTAAAGATCCAAGATGTAAAATTCAAAGCAAGAAGATGTTAACAATGGCATATTGCTATAATCATTTGGAAGAATTGCATATTTTCCATTTGCATAAGAATATGCCTAATTTAATTTTACTACCTTGATTGCAAGGCTCTTCATTTAACACCAAAGTCACGCTGTGCCTGAGGCTTTGGATGGTGTTTCCAGAGAACCAGTAACTTTCCCATTTGGAATTAAAGTGAGACCTCTTGGGTTTATGGGAAATGATAAAGGATATAGGATACATCCAAATAGGAATTTCATGTCCTGAAATATATTAACTAAATTATTCTAAACCTTTTTTATATGTATGCAGAAAGGGTGATACACAAAGATAGATGATATACATAATCACTTTCTGAAATCCAAACATAAAACTCTATAATACGACAGAGGCCCTTACACAAATATTTTCAGGGCCTCTTAGCTTCTTTTTCTTTCAAAAAGCAAGTACCAGAAACACAGAGTAGGTATTGTGTTCATGTTGTAGGAAACTGAAACATGGAGATGCTTAAAAATGCAAAGCTTTATCTGTGCCATAATTTATTGAGTAAATGCATATTCACCGAATGGTCTCATGTATGGTACCTTGGAGAGAAAATAAAGAGAAGAAAAATACAGCCCCTACTTAAAGGAAATTGCATTTTAACGTGGAAGAAAATAGAATGCTACGTAGTTATTACATCAGACAGGATGTTATTTCTGCAGTAAAATGCTCTCAAAAGGTATGACAGTAGGTTAAAAGAGAGAGAATGGTGCTGCTTTGGCAGCACATTTACTAAAATGAGAATAATACAGAGAAGATTAGCATGGCCCCTATACAAGGATGACAAGCAAATCTGAGATGCATTTCATATTTTTCTGGCA